CCTGGTCCCCCAGAGCTGCTGTGTGAGAGACAGCTGTCTCTCAGCCACACTGTGCTTGCCTCCCATTAAGGTCTTTATCTTAAGTGTCTGGTCTATATTTTGGCATGACAAAAATATAAACTTTGGAGATGGGAAAAATGGCTCAAATTCTATCTCTATCAACTGGTGTGACTCTTAGGCAAATTCTGTAACCTTTTGGTGCCTCAGTTATCTCATCAGTTCATAATAATATTAGTAATCATTTTTTATTATTGGTTTGATTATAATAAATAATATGGTAATTTACTCCCTAGGGATATTATGACATGACATATATTATGTACCTGGGGCAGATACTAGTACATTAGAATATAAGCCTCATGAGGTCAGGCATTGGATCTTCTGTTTGCTGCTGTATCTTAGTGCCTAGAGCAATGTCTGGCACATAGTCAGTGCTCAGTAAATAGTTGTTGGCAGAATGATGAGTAAACAGCAGCTATCATTATTGCTGCTATTATTGTTGTGATGTCATTGCTGGCACGTAGCCGGGTTCCATGCACAGCGATGATGATGTAAACTTGGATGCTTCCACTGTCATCCTTGGTGCATAGATTTACAGAACCAGAAAGCAATCTTGCAAAGAAGTCAGTAGGCACTGGTTTTGAGTAGGGAGGTAACTGTGGAGTACGTTTCTAGAAAAGCATTGGCGTCACTGGAAATAAAGTCACGCAATAAATTGCTTGTATTGAGAAAAGAAAATAAGCCATAACCAATGCTAATGGAATTGCCTGATTAATCATCCCCTGACTGATCGTGTCTCCTGATATCCTTTTAGGTTAATCCTGCCATATGAAAGGTTTATTAAAGGAGAGGAAGACAAGCCCCTGCCTCCAATCAAACCTCGGAAACAGGAGAACAGTTCACAGGAAAATGAGAATAAAGCAAAAGTATCAGGAACCAAACGCATCAAATATGAAATCCCCAAGAGCAAGAAAGAAAAAGAGAATGCCCCGAAGCCCCAGGATGCCTCTGAGGTGAGTCGCTCTCCGCCCCAGACATACCACCAGGACCTGCCCCGCCTCAGGGTTTCCCGAACCCTGTACCCTTAGCTGAGACCTGCACCCACAGCTGTGACCTACACAGTTGCAGTGCTACACTGAGAAATCAAGTCATCTCAGCTTCGCAATTCCCTCAGTAGCGGACCGTCCCGCTTGTTCCAGGGCTGAAAGGCAGTCCGTGGTGTTGAATGGACGATAGGATCCAGAAAGATGCAAGCATCCCCTAGGAAACGGATAGCGTCCACCGACTCAGAGAGTAGGAGCCAGAGCTCCAGCTCTGTGAAGCCAGGGGACTCCAACGTGAAAGATACGGCTTTGCCGTTTCCAGCCAGTCTATCTGAGGAAGTGGTGTGACTTTAAGAGTGCTCCGTGGGGCCTGGTAGGGAGGGCCATTGAAATTGATGTGCTGTGTGTCTGCGGGAGGGACCTGGAAACTTTAGGGACGCCTTTGTCTCCTGTAATGGACCTGTATGCAGCAGCCTTGGGTTGAGACCAGTTTAGAAACATCTTAAGCACATATTATTTATGGGGAAATTTTGAAATGGTTCCTCTGAAACCATTATTATCTCTCATGTTAACAGGTAGTTTCTGAACCTTTTAAAACAAGCCTCAGCTACCCGCAGCACCCCCACAGTTCCTTGGTAGAAGCCATTAATGTCAGCACACAGCCAGTCATGGAGGCTGATCTGGGCTCTGTTTCAACATGAATAATAAAAACCCTGCTGCCCATAAAAAACAAACAAAAAAAAAACTTAGCAGCCACATTTGGAGACAGCATGTTCTAAGATTCAACCCCAGAGGGAATTTTGTTGCTGATATTAAACACCCCCTAAAAAATCAAGTTTATAATGAACACATAAGAGACTCCCTAATTAAACACTGGTTTAAAACACACACAACACAACACCACAATCTCTTACCTAGAATTCAACTTACCCCCACTGAATCCTGTGTAAGAAGATAATATTAATACGAAGATGAAATTTTTTTTTTGTTTCACAATTATTTCAAGCTCTAGAAATTAAAACGGTTGGGGGGAGGGGGGAAGAGGTGATGCAGAGATTTCTAAATATCTGCAAGCTTGCAACATAAATAGCCAAAAGCAAGGAAATTCCAAGTGAAGGCTTGCATTCCATTCTTCCTTTACCCTGTTGGCCTGGTGATTTATTATGGGTTTTGGAGCAGTGAGTTCTATTAGATACCATATGTACAGCATTGCCAAAGCACCAGGGGGCAAACTGAGGACCAAGAGGCCAGCTGACCTTTGAACAGCTCCACTTTGGGGACGAAGTTTAAAATGGTTGGTTTGTAAATTGTGGGAGGAATCCTCAGCCCATGCCCTGAACCCATCAGCTGAGGGGATGACCACTGTCAGGTGTGGAGCCAGATGTTCTGCAGATCGTAGAAACCCTTAAAGCCTTTGTTCTATAGATCCCAGCAGTTCCCTTCAGGGAGCTGTTAGTGTCTTGAGTATCAAAGATTATTATGATCAGGTTATCTAAACTACCTGGAATCTGCCCTGGCCGGTGTGGCTCAGTTGGTTGAGCGTCATCCCATGCACCAAGAGGCTGCCAGTTCAATTCCTGGTCAGGGCACGAGCAGGAGGCAGCTGATCGATGTTTCTCTCTCACACTGATGTTTCTCTCTCCCTCCCTTTCTTTCTAAAATCAATTAAAAAAAAACTTATTAAACTACCTGGAATCTCATACCCTCTTCAAGGTTGACCTTATAAGTAAGAATTGTTCCCCACCTCCAACATAGACCCATGTTATTGTCCAGGTATATTTCTTCCCACTAATGATGTGTCTGGAGCTGTGAGTCAGGATTTTATTGTTGTCATTGTTTTAATTGTTTTTCATTTTTAATGTTTTCAATATGAAGTAGTGAACTCAGTAGAGATAGGAGGGCTTATAAAGCCCTCCTCGCCCTAGCCGGTTTGGCTTAGTGGGTAGAGCATCGGCCTGTGGACCATAGGGTCCTGGGTTCGATTCCGGTCAAGGCCACGTACCTCAGTTGCAGACTCCTCCCCAGCCCAGGCCCTGGTTGGGGTGCGTGCAGGAGGCAACCAATTGATGTGTTTCTCTCACATCCATGTTTCTCTCTGTCTTTCCCTCTCTTCCACTCTCTCTGAAAAAAATCAATGGAAAAACATCCTTGGGTGAGGATTAAAAAAATAAATAAATAAAGCCCTTCTCATCAAACCCGATATCCTTGGATTGGATTGCAAGTTACCTGGTGGGAAGATACCACTTAACATACTAAGGGCAGATCAGAAAATTCCATCCTTCACCTTTTTCTGTCTAGCTTTCAAAGACCTCCTGAACCTGTTTTACAATCAAAAGCATGGAACTCCATGTAACTGAAGGCCTAGGTCATAGAAAGTTCATTGGAACTGAGTATCCCTGATAGCCCCTCTTCAAATTCCAGTCCCATCAGAAACTGACATTCAAGTGCAATGCCTTTTTCCCTGGCTGTACTCATTTTTTCTGCATTTCTTGTAATGCAAAAGCTCAGGAGACCAGTGATGTTGTTAATGTAGAACAAGTAATGATAGTTGTACTGAAAAGGCAACTACTAGTACCAAAAAATGAAAGGTGGCACAAAAAGGTTCTTAGGTATAACACAAATCTAAAAAAACAGGGATATCTTTAAGTGGATTTAAGGAAAAATATTGATTAAATGGATGTGTTTCCTTAAAATTTTTAGTCCTATGCATCCCTACACTAGCATCCCCAATCTTACCCGAAAATGCTACTGTGGTCAAAACTTCTTTTCTTAACAAAGAAGAACAATGTTCATGGAGATGAGATGGGCGAGTTAGGGGGTGGGGGATGGGGAGGCGAAGACCAGTTCAATACAACTGGTTTTGGGACTATTCTCCACTAAGACATGTCAGGACAGAATGACAGAAGTTTTTAAAGACCTTGTCCGTCAGTAGGTCACAGATGGAAAGTTAAAATGACCTTCAAAGGTCAGAGTTTGCACAGCTACATAAAGCAATGAATGGGTCGAATTGTGCCCACAACTTCTATGAATAGGGACACACAAAGGGCATCCATCTCATGGACCACAATTTATTTCAATGAACAGAGAAGCTGTGTTTGTGCTGGCGCTCACTGCCTAAATTTGACAACTTCATTTTCAGCTTTCATGGAAATGTAGCTTGCTGCAGCCTAGAAGGACTTAGAGCCCTCCTGTCCCTCAGGTAGTCAGGCCGATGTTGCATCTCCATCATCTTTCAATACTTCAGCTTATCTGCATGTCACATGGCACTGAGTAGAAATTACAAACACTTAAGCATCACTGATTTTATGCCTCCATTGGACACATTAGGACAAGATACACTCTGTCAAAGAACGGCAGGGAGTATCGGTGAGTTTGTTGATTGTTTGTTGACATGGGGGTGGTTAGATTTTTGAAAGAGAGAGGCTTTAAAAAAAATCTTTCTCCAAAGTGTCATAAAGCACAACATGTAATTTAAAACCCATTTGGATAATTGACTGATTTGACAAGAAGACAACCTTAGAATTAAACTATATATTAGACTCAAGGAGTGATATGATTGTATACCATCAGTACATAACACTTTGATAAGTGTCTCATAAGGGACTAAAGTGAATATGCATATTTCCCCTAATGTTTCTGTAATTTAGATTTCTTTGTTTAGAGCTATGATCAGGGAGTGATAAAGCTTTACAGAAACTATGTGAACTGATTGACAAGCCTATTTCCAAGAAAAACTGCTGCGTGTAATATTCTATTTCATAGCAAAATGTGTCAATGCACTTAGCTTCCTTCTGACTGTCTTGCAATATTTTATCAGGTTTCTTCAGAGCAAGAGAAGGAGCAAGAGCCTTTAAACCAGAAGAGCATCCCCGAGCCTCTTCCCGCAGCAGACGCGAAGAAGAAAATGGAAGGGTACCAGGATTTTGCCGCCAGGCCCCTGGTGTCTACAGCAGACCCAGAAAAGGAGAACAAAGCAGATCAAAGTGCCAACTGCGAGAAGATGGCAGAGGAGGCGGGAGAGAAAGGGCCCTCTCCTCCACTCCCGAGTGCCTCTTCAGCCCCCGACAGGGACCCAGGGGCTGGCAAACAGCCTCTCACCTCTCCCAGCGCTCTGGTCGACTCAAAACCAGAACCCAAGCCCTGCTGTTTTACAGAGAGCCCTGAAAACGAACCCCAAGACACAGCCTTCCCTGGCTTCCCCGCCACACAGCCACCGCTGGCAAACCAGAGCGAGATGGACGATGACAAAGTGCCCGCCATGGCAGATTACATCGCCAACTGCACCGTGAAGGTGGACCAGCTGGGCAGCGACGACATCCACAACGCGCTGAAGCAGACCCCGAAGGTCCTAGTGGTCCAGTCGTTCGACATGTTCAAGGACAAAGACCTGACTGGGCCCATGAATGAGAACCACGGACTCAATTACACCCCACTGCTCTACTCCAGGGGCAACCCAGGCATCATGTCCCCGCTGGCCAAGAAAAAGCTCTTGTCCCAAGTGAGTGGGGCCAGCCTCTCCAGCAGCTACCCCTATGGCTCCCCACCCCCTTTGATCAGCAAAAAGAAACTGATCGCCAGGGACGACCTGTGCTCCGGTCTCGCCCAGGCCCACCACGGCCAAAGCACTGACCACACGGCGGTCAGCCGGCCCTCGGTGATTCAGCACGTGCAGAGCTTCAGGAGCAAGCCCTCCGAGGACAGAAAGAGCATCAGTGACATCTTTAAACATGACAAGCTGAGTCGATCGGATCCCCACCGCTGCAGCTTCTCCAAGCATCACCTCAGCCCCCTTGCCGACTCCTATGTCCTGAAGCAAGAGATCCAGGAGGGCAAGGAGAAACTATTGGAGAAGAGGGCGCTCCCCCACTCCCACATGCCCAGCTTCCTGGCCGACTTCTACTCCTCTCCGCATCTCCACAGCCTCTACAGACACACCGAGCATCATCTTCACAACGAACAGTCATCCAAGTACCCGTGCAGGGACATGTACAGGGAATCGGAAAACAGTTCCTTTTCTTCCCACAAACACCAAGAAAAGCTCCATGGAAACTATCTCTCGTCGCTGCACCTGCAAGACAAAAAGTCAGCTGCAGCCGAAGCCACCACGGATGACCAGCCGACAGACCTGAGCCTTCCCAAGAACCCGCACAAACCCACCGGCAAGGTCCTGGGCCTGGCCCACGCGGCCCCGGGGCCCCAGGAGAGCAAAGGCGTCTCCCAGTTCCAGGTCATAAACAGCCACAGTCGAGACTGTCACCCCAAGGCCTGCCGGGTGTCCCCCATGACCATGTCGGCTCCTAAAAAATACCCCGAGGCGCTCTCAAGATCTGCAAAACCCCACCATGTGAGACTGGAGAATTTCAGGAAGATGGAAGGCATGGTCCACCCCATCCTGCACCGGAAAATGAGCCCCCAGAACATTGGTGCTGCGCGCCCCATAAAGCGCAGCCTGGAGGACTTGGACCTGGTGATCGCTGGGAAAAAGGCCCGGGCGGTGTCTCCCCTGGACCCATCCAAGGAGGTCTCTGGGAAGGAGAAGGCCTGTGAGCAGGAGAGCGAGGGCAGCAAGGCAGCCCACGGTGGGCGATCCGGGGGCGCGTCGGAAGGCCATAAGCTGCCCCTCTCCTCCCCTATCTTCCAAGGTTTGTATTCTGGGAGCCTGTGTAACTCGGGCCTCAACTCCCGGCTCCCAGCAGGGTATTCTCACTCTCTGCAGTACTTGAAAAACCAGACTGTGCTTTCCCCACTCATGCAGCCCCTGGCTTTCCACTCGCTTGTGATGCAAAGAGGAATTTTCACGTCGCCGACCAATTCTCAGCAGCTGTACAGACACTTGGCTGCAGCCACACCTGTAGGAAGTTCGTACGGGGACCTTTTGCACAACAGCATTTACCCTTTAGCTGCTATAAACCCTCAAGCTGCCTTTCCATCTTCTCAGCTGTCATCCGTACACCCCAGTACAAAACTGTAAGCCCGGCTCTGCCCAGCATCCCACACGGCGTGGCTAAAAGATCTTTACTCCTTCCCCCTGGGGTGATGGCTTGTAGAATTAGAAGTCCGTATTTCTTCTAATCTGGGGGTAAGATCAGTTCCAGCCGAAGCGGCCGAGCGGGGAGGTGAACAGACCTGATTTTTCTGGGACGACACCAGCCTTGGCTGGTCAGTCTTGAGTCCCTTGCAACACAGATGCCCTCGCACCCCAGATGGTTCACTTCGCACGGGGCTCGCGTGAAGGGGGTTATGCGCACCCAGGAAGAACTTAGAGGGCCCCGTCTGAGTTCCCATGGCCAGGAAACAATCTGGGCAAAAAAGGGGCAGGCATTTCAAAGAAAGGGGCAAGGAAGACTGGCAGACATACCAAGCGAGGCCCCTGTTTTCATAAAACTCCAAGGTTCAATCAATGCAATGTATAGTGAAACTTCAATAGATCTTTCCTTTTGACACTATTGAACAATCCAGAGAAGTAAACACTGTTAAATTGACTGTATATATTTGCTTCTTAAAACTACCCGTATCACTGTTTGCTCACCTAATTTATATACAGGTAGTTCCATTTTCTCCCAGTTCCTTCTTGTCTTTTTTTTTTTTTTTTAATTAAACAGTATCGCTTTTGTTTGCAGGTCTTTTGTTTTGTTTTGTTTAATACTGACTGACTATCCTAGTTTTTGATGTGTGTTTTTAACTCCCCGCCCCCCCATCTTATCATTTTGAGCAGCTTTGGGTGGTAAAGTTAATTGTTTACAAATTGAAGCAACTGATTCTAGTGGAACAAATGAGAAAGAAACAGATGAGCACACCATAGTGCAAAGAACGTTCCTTTGCAGATCCGCAACTTACGGACTTTGTTCCTCATTAATGGCATAGTTGAAAGAGCTTATACACTGCTTACCCGACCAAATGCTTTGCTTTGAAGTATGGGGTTATGTGAACATATCGAGCCTTGTACTTACCTTATCTAGGCTGTGAAACTGTCCTACATACCAGAGGAATCATAAAAACAAAAACCTCACTGGCAGCAAGCTGCTGAATAACAGCAGAGTCTAGAGGACATACTTGTGGGCTGCGCAGATATTTTAGGAATTTCAGAAATTAGAACAGGAGCCAAAATGATTTACATTGGTGTTGGCCCTGGTCCCTTTAAGCAGTCCGGGAAAGGGGGTTGGGAAGAGGATGGAACTTGACTCTCCAAAGAAAATGAGCAGCTGGAGGCCTATGCCCCAGGTACCTACCTTCCCTGGGCCGTGGTCTTTGGAGTAATAGGTAATCGCGTTGCCTTCATCATATTGGTTTCTTGATGTTCCCAAGAAGACCCTTCCAGGCCACATCTGTGGGGATAATTGGCATACTGGATTACCCACGTCAAAAGAAAGTCATCCTCTTTGGGTTTCTTGGGCGTGAGCTTTATGTATAAACAAGCACTCACTTGCGGTGGTTGGTGTCATGTTTGTGACCACCTGGCAATATAGCCCGCTCTACCATTTATATCAGTGTTGGAAAGAAGCGGTCAAGCTGTTCAAGCAGTCAAAAGATGTGGAGAATGTATCTTGTCATTCTTGCCACTTTATTCCATTTGCTGCCAAGATGTAACATCAAGGTGGATGCATTTCCTAAGTGTGTTAAAGGTCGATCGACCCAGAGCCTGATTTTCTTCTCAAGTCCCATCCCTGCTGATAGGAATGCTTTGATGAACTCCCCAGCCAACCCTCCCCTCCCCCAACACTACTAGTAGACATTAGAACCATAGTTAACCAAGTCTTTTACCTCTGAGATATTTAATTCTATGAAAATTGATGACAATTTTCAACCTCTAGGTAACTCGACTGCAAAATAATCAAAACTGGTAAACAATGAAACTGCGGCTCTTAACCGAAGCCATGCATGCCGTGCATTTGTATTGAAATGTCTCCATGATACGAAGCCAAATATTCAGTGTAACATACTTACTATCCAAAGGTGGAAACAAAAGAATGTAGAGATCTAGTGTTAAGAGTTCCATTTGCTTCAATTAATTATTTACCTTCCTGTGGAATAA